AAAAAAAAAAAAAAAAAAAATAAATAAATATACCAGAAGAAAAAAATTATTTTTTTCCAATTACCTGAATAACATGGTTTTTGAAGCTAAAACCTTCTTTCTCCTTTCTGCTTCTATACTCGACATACAGAACACTTATAAGGTACGCCGTCCAACTCCCCATCAGCCCGTAAAATATCTGGAAAACGACGCCGGAAAGCATGCCCAGTTGCGAAAACGAGTACGGCAGCGTCAGAAGAACTTGGGCCACCTTTAAAAATCCAATCTTTTTTCCATTAGCTCCGACAGAAAGAAGAAAAATTGGACCAAAATCGACGGTCGCCGGAGATTCAAGAACCGAATGCGGAGTACCTGATTGGAGGCGCAGCTGAACCAGGCGTCCCAAGCTGAGCCGCCGTGCCAGAGCATGCTCTTCACGCTGAAAATCCCCTGCTCCTCCTCCTCCTCCTCCTCCGCCGCCGCCGTGGCGCCGGCGTCGACGATGGCTTCCTCCGCTTGTTTTTCCGGCAACATTTTTGTTTCCGGCAGATCTGTTTATGAAAGAAAAAAAAAAGGAAATGATTAATTGATAAATAATGGGAATTAGATTTTATAACTGCAGAGAGAAAATTACCCAGATTCAAAGCAGAAAAAAACACAAAAGGAGGGCAAGAAATGAAATTAATGTAAAATGAAGGGGTGAAAAAAGAAATTTGAAAAAATGGGAAGTTTCAACTTTTTTTTTTGCAAAAAAATACCTGGTATTTGTGACCGAGTGAGTCCCTCTCAAGAACCCAATAAAACACAGTAAAAATGAATTGATAATAAGATAGTGAACCAAAATTTCAGGATTTTTTTTTTTAAATTAACAATAAAAAAAAGGAGCTTTAAATAAATGCATCCAAGAATTGTTAGAAATATCACTAATAAATAAATTTATGTAGCCTTTAACGGCACTGTCAGTAAAAAAAAAAGAAGAAAAAACTGAATCCTTTTTGCTTGTTTTGCTTTATTTTATAGTGTTTGCAGAGAAATTTTATTATAGAAGCGTTTATTAAGACCTTTTTATGCTAATA